ACTGCTAGGAAAGATACACCCGGTATTCCATAGTAGCCTTTTAAAACCTGTGGTCGGATCAACCCTGAGTCCACTACCCCGAGAGCCCCCAGGCCTTGTGGTCATAGGGGGCCAAATCCATTATGAGGTGCAGCAAATCCTTGATTCGAGGTGGCACAGGAGACAACTCCAATACTTAATCAAATGGAAGGGCTACCCATTATCAGAGGCATCTTGGGTAAAGAGTAGAAATATACAGGCTGATTGCCTTATAGCAAAATTCCATGCAGACAATCCAAACAAACCTGGGGGAGGGGACGCAGCCTTAAATCCTATACGCAAATTGTTTTTGCTTCACACAGGTCATTTTTGGAAAGTAAGGGGAGCCAAATGTCAACTCATAAAAGTTGCCATGGTGAGGAAAGAGTAGGAACTCAGATGACCACAGCAGGCTTGTGATGTGTGCACCTCATTGGTGAATATGATTTATGACATGGACCATGGGGAAGGAAAGAACAGGGGTAAAATTCAGCCATAATTCAAATGAGGTTTAGATCTGACTGCAAAGTGGTATGGCTGAAATGGTGCTCCTAATAAATGACCGGATTTCTTTTGAAACTTGGCTTGAGGCTAATGAATTAATTAGGGCATCTTTCGGAACCCTGACAATGTATTTGTTTTTCCCTGTTGTGATATTGCATCTATTGGTCTTTGCTTTAGTGGCCTAGAGGTTGCTAATGTTGATGTGAATGATGCTTCCCCCCTCCAATTTTAGTCAAATTTGGAGCACTTGCCATTTTTCTCTTATAATCTTATAGTACCCGAATTTATAGTACCTTGTTGCCTTTAAACACTCCCACAGCTCCCTCTTATGCTCTCCCACAATTCCTCAATTACTAGACCAATTATATTTGTAATCCACAGAGTCAGTTTATGGAGACTTTGAGAAAGACTTCTTTAAGATCAACAATTATGTCCTTGTCATCTGTCAGTATTGGAACCTGCCAAAAACCGCCACCTGAAAAGCACGGTTTTCTTTCCCAGTTACTCAGAAGCTTTTGTATATGCCCTCCTCCTCCTCCTCCTGCAAATGAAAGGAGCCTCAGAGACATTAGATTTCTCTGGATGCTAGATCAAGAAGTTAAAAACCTGGAATGGGGTACAATCAAGCTTGATTCAAAGGCTTTGGCTTGGTGCGCTTCCAAAGTCCATGGGGACGCCGGCCCCACTTCCACCTTTTGTCGCTCCACCCAGTCGTCACCCCGCTGCACATCCAGTATCAGAGACTGTATGCTCACAGGATGACAAACGGCAGAGCAGGCTGCAACGAGTAGAACAGTTCGAGGTGGAAGCGAGTTCGCATAGTCAGAGTTCTTTACTTTACTCGGCAGGGCATCCGCCCTGGGACTCCACACACCCCGAATGCACGCTATCTTGTGCGAACGGGGTATCACGGCTGCACCAACGTGCTGTTTGTCCGACCTCATAGTGCGTTGCTGCAGTCCACGCAACCCTTCTGCTCTTCTTGGGGCAGCTCCCTGCCAGGTGTCCAAGATCCCCACAATAGAAGCACAATCCCTCAGCACGTCTGTCCATCTCTGACCGTGACACTCGAGGTCTGACAGCACTCAACTCCATGGGCTCCTCCCAGCCCACTGCAGTCTCTTGCTGAACCGGCATGCTGGTGGTCTCCTGGAATACATGGCGAGGCTTTCGCCTCTGCAGCCGGTGTCTATCCGGAGGCAGAGGTGGACCAACGCGTCAAACGTCGGTGGCCTGTCCACCCTCGTCAGTTCATCCTGCAAGGTCTCAGACAATCCATCCTGGAACTTGTCCATTAGAGCTGGTTCATTCCACGTGGAAT